CCTGCTTTCCAAGATATCGGCATCGGCATCGGCTGTCAAAAAAACTATATCTGTCGACCACTATTTATTTATATTATTTAATATTAATGTTCTTTAATATTTAATTAATATTTCAACAACAATTATTTGAATAATATTTTTACATTTCTTTTATTCATTTTAATTTAGTGTAGTATTGTTAGTTTTATTTATTATTATTTTATTTGTTTCTTTTTCAAGTTCCCGACAGGGAGAAAGAAAAGAGGAAAATGAAATTATGATGGTTAAAAAGAGACCCTTAATTTTAACTTCAATATCTTAATATCTGATGTCATTTAATATTAATATTATTTTATTGAATTAGTATTTGAGCTAATATTTTACTAATAATATTGCTAAAATAATTTAATTTATTTCATTTTAATGTGGTATTTTTTATTTCATTTATTAATAGTCGTAATCGTAGTACTTCCCGACAGTAGTGATGTTCCTGAGAGAGATTGTGTTGTTTTCCTTCAGCACCTTTTAGAAACAGGACCACTTTATAATGGCAGGGAGGAGGAGAAAGAATCAGAAGAAATGAAATCCTTATAATGAAAGAATCGGTCAGCAGGGGCGATCTGTCACATTGGAGTTTAGCTGGCACTTGTTGACAGCTGATATCAGTGATTGAAGCGTCACTCTCAATTATTATGTTTCTGTTGTAGTTTGGGTTGGAAAAGGAAAAGTCTCTGTTTGCTCGTCGTGTAATCTCTTTGTTGTTTAGGAGGAACTATTGTAATAAATGCAGGTGTATAGATGGAGTTCGTCCAGTGAACCGTTGTGGCCTCTCGTCGGTGTTTCTGATGTGGTTGTGTGTCTTTCGCTGCATGAGATCTTGATTTCCTCTGAACATTTGCTCTCAACCTCTCCAATTACGCAAGAGCTTTGTTTTGATTAACGGAATAATCCACTTCAGGACACTTGGAAATCAGTCCAGGCCCTTCTGTTGATTCTCCTGCTGTGCATGTACACGACCCTTCACAAGTCATTTGCATTAGCGGTTTCTTCATTTGGGTCTCAGAGAATAAACGTAAAGGGTTAGTTCATCTAAAAATGAAAATTAAATCATCCTGAACCTTATTGTTGTTGTTTGTTTGTTTGTTTGTTTGTT